AGTGTAGTAGTCCAAGTCAGAAAGTATCAAAGCATTTTTAGACTTTGTTGTTTGACATAATGCATCAAATCTTCCCTCCAGTTGTGTGATTAAATTAGAAAAAGTAGTCAACTTTTTCTTTGCACGAGTAAAACCTACTGCACACACCAGAGACCATCAGTTATTGTAGTACTTTGGTGTTATTTGTAGACAAAAGAGCCTTCATCCAGTTCATGGTTTAAAGTCATAAAATATCCTAGGAACAGCAGGCACACTGCAGTAATTACAATCACCGGCTTGCCTTGGTAAGCTTGTGAGACAGCTGGATATTTGTGGAGAATAAATGCTTTGAACTTTCCTGCTGTTTGCAACCTTCAGGTCAAGGTTTTGATTGGTTGTGACAAAGCTGCCATACAACATAAAAACGGGTGTCATAAATTGCTGCGTGGTAATGGTCTCTTAACTGTGCCGGTATGAAGCAGACATGCCTAGAAACTTTGTCTATAGCTGCTGGAACAGCCACTTGTGGCTTGTTTGGGTTTCTAAGTCAGACTTTTCTTTTCTTTAGTTTTTCGTTTAAAATGACAGTAAATGCTCTTGTAGAGGATTGGTAAGCTGTCCCAACAGTTCAGTGAAAACATAGAAGAGACACATTTTCTTTTTACGAGTGTGTCATTCTTCACTGCAGAAAATAAAAACAGATTGGAGAGTCACGACGTTTGTTAACCTTAATTAACAGACTTGGTGACTCGGTGGGGATCTCTGGAACTGTTCTAGACTGGTTTAGATCGTAGCTTTCTAACCGAAGTTACAGTGTCTGTATACACCAACTCATGTCAGATTCTACCGATCTGTGCGGGGTACCCCAAGGCTCTGTTCTGGGTCCACTGTTGTTTCTACTGTACATACACCCTCTTGGACAGAAAACTGATTATTTTCATAATGTCTCTTATCAGCTGTATGCAGATGATACTCAGCTGTACTGCTCTTTTTCTATAAACTGTCTGAATTACTGAGTGTTTATCAGCTATCACCAGCTGGCTAGAAGACAACTTCCTTCAGTTTAACTCTAAAAAGACTGAATGCCTGTTTATTACCCCTGAGAGCATGGTTCCTCTGATTAGTCAAAAACTTGGTCATTTATCTTCTGCCGTCAAGTCAAACTTAAGGGATTTGGGTGTTGTTTTTGACCACTCAGTGTCTGTTGAAGGCCACTCAAAAACATTGGTCTGAAAGGACTGAGTAGTGTTCCTGGAAAAATATGATTATTGTGACGGTGTAAAAGGTCAGACTCCAACTAGCTGGCTAGAAAATAACTTCTATCAGTTAAACTCTGAAAAGTGTTTTTATCACTTAAGAAATATCTCCACACTGCGATGGTTGGTGTCAAAACATGAACCTGAAAGGGTTCTCCATGACTTTATCTCCTCCCGTCTAGATTACTGTAACACACTCTTCACATGCTTTCACAACAAAGCCCTTGACCTCCTTCAGTTGGTCCAGAACTCTGCAGCGAGGCTTCTAACTGGAGCAAACAGAAGAGCACACATCACTCCTATTCTGGTGTCTCTGCACTGGTTACCCGTTAACTTTGGAGTTCATTTTAGAATCCTGACTAGAACTTTCAATGCTTTCCCATTGCTTCAATTTCTAGGAATTTTTCACCACTTTTGCAAACGATTCCCCTTATCAATTCTAGTGGTCGCGAGTGACGTGACTGCGCACGTTGCGTTGCTTACGGAAGCAGGTAACACGGCATCTAAGCGGCACAAATGCTCAAAAGTTTGGTTACATTTTACAAGAAAGCATGACAACAGGGTAACTTGCTATAATTGCAAAGCAGAGGAAGCATTACGAAAATACAAAAGCCTTTGGGCACAAAATACACGATATCTTAACGTTAATGACTTGCTTTGACCCGCTCCAGACTAGTGTATTTTAACACACGTCCTCTCCTGTTAATACTGCAGGTAACTAATCAACTAACACTACCTATCATGTTAGCGTCATTAGCCTTATATACACACCTCCACACTAGCAGACTCCAGCGACTAAATCTACAACAGCTACAGCAACACTGCGCCGAACAAGAAGATGACTCTGCCTTCACAGGGAGCAGAAAGGAGAACATTTGGAAAGATAATTCCAACCAACTTCTTACAGTTTCTATTTCCCCTCCTAGTTTCATCTTAATTCTATGTAATTAATTTTCATCTAGGATCATTTTAGTGTCCTCCAGTTTATTAAGCTCATTGGTTCTTGTTCTTTAGTTTATAAGTTTATTTACTTTCAGTCATTCTTAGAATAATTTACTTCACTTAAACGTCTAGTTTCGTCCTAAGGTCTCTGTATGTTGTTGGTTTTATGTTTATTTGTTCTCCTTCTCTGATTTATTGTGTATCCTCCCCACTTTGTTAAATGTGGAATATGGAACACTTAAAAAAAGCTATATAACAATAATACTTCCATGGGGCGTTTAGAGGTGGGCAGAATGAATGTACAGTTTTTTCTTTAAAAGCTATATTTAAGAAAATAAATATTCTAATTTTAATTTTGTTGAGTACGACACTGGGTTAATGTTTACATCTACCAGCCACTAGAGGGCTCTGTTGGGCTAAAAAGTCCGCTAGACAAAGTGAGGCTGGGACTGTGTAAAATGGCGGACTTGACAAGTCAAGCAGCTGATTTTGAGCCCACATGATGTTCTAACGGTAAATACTGCTGTAAAATAAACGCATTATTAGAAATTAGTCCTTACCCTGTACAATTTGTCACAGGACATGGTGCTGGCTGGTCACTTAACGTGCCAGCAGTGAACCAACGCCCCGGCGGCTGGAAAATGTTTTCTGTTGTTGCAGCTACCACCTCTAGACACTAGATGTCGCCAGACTGTCCATGTTCCATATTCAGCCTTTAATTGATTACACATGCCCCCTGTTTCCCTGATCACTCCCCTCTGTGTACAAAACCCTGGATGTTTCTCAATGCCAATGAGCCTTGCCTTGATGTCTTGGTCCCGCTCCGGTTGCCTAGGAGATACGCCTTCAGGAACCGCCAAGGAGCGTTCCAATGTTTATGTTCTACCGAGACGTGTGTTCTCCGTCTGTTAGCCGTTTAGCTAGCTGAGCAAGGATCCACGGGAAGTGTCTTGTAGCCTAGCCTTGGTCAAACATTTCCCAGAATACACCGCAGTCTTTTCAAAAGAATGGCGAATCAGAAGCCAGCAGCAACTTCGGGGGCAAATTTCAAGTTTAAATGTAAGTCAAGTAATTGTGGCTATCAGGCTGATATCTGAAATGTTTTTTTTAATATCCCAAGCAGTCATCTATGGTTGGCTAGTTGCTTAGTAATTGCAGATTTGGTGGCTAGCAGGTAGTAACTCACTTATATATTTAATTTAACAAATATATACACAATTTAAAAGTAAAAGGCTCGTTATATATTTATATTGAAACTTATACGTATAACATAACCGGGGCGGATTTAGGACTGACAAAGATCCAGGGCTTAATACACACATGCGCGCGCGGCCTCACGTGCGCGCACACACACACACACACACACGTGACACGCACTACAGTATATGTCTTGTACCACATAATTTTTTATCTGAAGCTACATATTAAGCATATTCAGGGCAGAGTATTGTTCCTGTTAGTGTTTAGTGTGAGATGATAGTAAATATTCCCTTTCTTTCTCCATCAACTTTACCTGATAAGCTAACTTTAGGCAAACCAGCAGCACAACAAATATTTTCAAATAAGACTCACAAACCTGAGTCAACACTAGTCTCATCAAAGCTGGGGTTCTGTGGTTGTACTTTTGGTCTAAAAAACGTCTTTATGTCCATCTTCACTCATGCGTTTCAGGCAGAGAGTGTAGAAGAGGCTACTGAAGGGCTTCTTCTTCAGTGGTGGAGGCTCAGGCAGGCTGTATACAAACTACTGCTAGCTGCTCCCTCTCTGTTGGACTTTGGTACTGCATGTTACTTCCGCATTTTAGATCCGGGGCTTTTCATAAAACATTCGGGGCTTGAGCCCAAGTAGCCGGGCCTAACGCCGCCCCTGAATAACATTACCTCCCGTGTCACGTGACTGGCGCAGAAGCCGCGGTCACTTGATGTAAGTCTGTTCCATTTAACCGTTTTCTTTGACTAAGAAAGGACAGTGTCCTCGCAAGCAAGGCTTGACATTGAGAAACACCCCAGTCTTGTCTCTCAGTGTCTGTTGATCCGTTGTGATTGTCCTGTCAGCGTTTTGTTGAGACGTCCCGTGCTCCTAGTTTTGATTTCATGTGAGGTTTCTAGTGACTTCTGTTCCTGAGTCAACTTCCTGTGTTTCTAAACCCCTTTTGGATTTTTCCGCACCTCCAAAATAAAAGATTATTAATTTTCACAACAACTGGGGTTTTTCTGCCGTTCCTGGGGTTCTGTTATTGGGTCCAAACCTCCATACACAGAGTTTATTTAATTAACCCACATTTGTCTGTCACATTTGAAAAATATTACCACTGAAAACGAACTGGCTGATGTCTAAGTTTTATTTCTGAGTGGAACCACGTGTTATCTGAATGGAGCTAAATTCAACTCCTCCAGAGTTGACGCTGGTGTGTGTGTGTGTGTGTGTGTGTGTGTGTGTGTGTGAGAGAGAGAGAGAGAGAGAGAATTTGTCTCATTCACTGAGACAAAAGTTGATCCTGTTGTCTGACATGCAGGAGCACTGCTGACCTGAGCGACTGGTTTCACTGACTGCTCCACAAGGTGAGGCTGATCAGTCCGTGCTGGGGGTGGGGTGGGATGAGGAGGATGTCACCAGTTAATAAGTCCAGTCCTCCCAGCCCTCGCAGCATCATGGTCGCAGGATGAGTGGGCTCTGGTCTCCTGAGGAGCCAGGTCGTGGTAACGGTCGGAGCGCAGAGCTGCTGGCGGTGACGGCGTGAGACTGGAGCTATAGCTTTGGGTACAAGCAGCACGCACACGCTCTCCAGAGTGCACGACTCCGACGCGCTCCTCAGAGTCTCCTTCCAGCCGGGAGGTGGAGAACTGAGCGGAGCTCATCACCGCAGGCGGAGAGTGAACGGCGGACCGAGCAGACCGAGACGCAGCGGTGAATGTAGGAGCGTCTGCGCCTCTTTCTGCGGGGCGCACAGCGGAGCTGCGGGACCAAGTCTCACATTTCTGCATCCTGACCTCCAGCTGGGAGTCCCGGTCAAGGAATCATGCTTCCCATCGGGATTGTGCTGCTGCTTTTCTGTTCAGGTAACGCGTCCCGCTGCTTTACTCAGGTGAGGAGAGAGGAAGTCAGAAACAGACTTTAACACCTGTTTCCGGTAACATTATTAAACCGGTTCCGTCTGAGGCGCTGCTTGCTGGACCGGAGATTCTGGTGGACGCAACTTCTCACAGCCCGCTTAGGTCGGAGCGGGATGGTGGAGCGGGTCCGGGCGGCCGCCAGGCGGCGCCCTTTACCTGGGAACTACTGCTACGCGCGCGCGCACACACACACACACACACACACACACACACACACACACACACACACACGGTAAAATAATTCTCATAAGCAATAAAGTAATAACTGCTACATGGATACATGAATGAATAAAACAATATAACAATACTTTATTATGTAATGATGATTTTAACAGTTTTTTATTATTTTAAACACTGCAGGGTTGCCTCAGTCAGTAGTCATTTATAATCAGTGCTTTTTGAATACCTTTACTACTATTATTATTATTATTATTATTATTATTGTTAGTAATAATAATACTTTTATTTTTATTGTTAAATTTGTTATTATAAAAATCTTATTATTAATATTAGTATTTATATTGTATTTTTTATTATTTATATAAGAGGAACACAGAAGCAATCCCCCACCCACATCAACACACACACACACACACACACACACACACACACACACACACACACACACACACACACACACACACACACACACACACACACACACACACACACACACACACACACACACACACACACACACACACACCTACTTTGTATATTTACTGTGTTCTGATAAAATGACTTTTAATGAAACAGACACTGAAACATGAAGGCTCCTAACAGGGTTTTTTAAATTTTAGATTTTTCATGTGTTTTTTTTTATTACTTTATGATTTATGCCGGGTTCTGTTAGAACGGATCAACGTGTGATGTGAGTGGTGGATGAGCCAAAACTAGCTGTTTGTGGGTGAACTCGAGCCGTGGATGGTCAGAGGAAATTAAAATATTTTATTTAGCTCTTTGATGTGATGTTTGTCTGTTTGAGTTTGATAATGTGTCAGAGACAATGAACATTCACTGGTAAACAACAAAAATAAGAATAGATCAACGTCCACTCTCAGCACACTCCTAGTGCGACTTATTTATCAGACAGCCCCCGTGTGACCCTGCAGCTGACCTAGGCGTGCTTCATCTGTTCAGCTTGGGGCTCTGGACTCAGTAATATTAGCAATGATAGAATGAAAGAGCAAAAATAACAATTTTATTGTACTTATGGTTTTAGCGTGACCTAGTTGCTGCAGCGCTGGAGGTCCAGGCAGCTTTTATCTGCAGCAGAACTGATGGTGCAGCTCCCCCCTCTGTGTTCATTAATCGTGATAATGATTGTCCAGCATGTAGGGCTGCTGTAACACTGAGTGACAAGCTCATATATCTCCATGTCTGTCTGCCTCTGGAGCCCCCTCTCAAGGCTTTTAGGTTGGGCCTAATTTTGATTTTTTTCCCAATCTCAATCTAAACCCCCCCTTGGATTTTCAGCAGCGCGTCAGAATAAATTGTTCAAGTCGTTCAATGAGGAAGTGCAGTCAACCGGCGCCGGTGAGCAAACACATTTGGAGCAGCGACGTTTGACGTCTTATCGGTGCACAGACAGGTGTGCATGTTTGTGTGTATTTTTAGGAGTCGGAGAAGGCCTGACACGGCTCATTCAGAGCAGGCTGCCTATGGGAGGTCTCTAGAATGAAATGGATACTTTAAAAGTGACGCTGCTCAAGAGAAACGTGTGGATGGATACCGCTTTAGACCTGAAATGTCTCAACTTTAAGGTGTTGTCACTCCTCTTCTGTCTTCTCCTAATTGTCTTTGTTTTCTATTTGAGACTCAGGCAACTGATCTAACAAACACAGCTGATGCTTAATACCAAACTACAGTTTTATTCATTTTCTGCTCAAAATACAAAAGTGCATTTGCTCCTCCTCCTCAGTGGCGGCTGGTGAAAGAATTCTTAGTCCTCAACAAGTATTAAAATGAACAGTTGGAAAATAACGTTAATTCTGAACCAAACATTTATTCCCCGTCTCCAATTAACAGTTTTTCAGATAAAGTCAAACATGAAATTTGCAGATAAATGAGATGACAGTAATATTCAAATACTGTACATATACAAGACGCTGTGTGAGCCTTTAAGAGCAACTGCAGTGCATAATGTTGATTTTCGTCCATATTCATATTTCATTTTGACCGTAGTTTGTCTTCCATCTTGTGTTTTCATTCTCCAGCTGCCTTTGGGGCTTCATCATCTGGTCAAAACGCAATACCCAGCTCCACCAGACATTCAAACGTTATAAGAACTTATTTACACCTCTGCAGCTGGTGTGTGTGTGTGTGTGTGTGTGTGTGTGTGTGTGTGTGTGTAGATCCAGCAGAGTCTAGCAGGCTAGCTAGCTGTTTCTTGCAAAGGGGATGCTATCAGGCAGCACCCGGGAGATAATAAGCTCAGTGATGCGGATTGGCCCAAAAATTCCCAGTTATCCCTAGCTACCACACACGATTGGTTGTTTAGCTTAAGTTCAGGGATGCTATTCCCAGCTCTGTAAGAGTGATATCAGTTAGTCTGGTGGAAGAAATTCACCATTTAATAAGAGACAGCTGGTGACAATGATGAGTCAATCATTTAGATTGCATAGGCACACACAGTTTAGCAATAGTGACACATTTGTAGTAAATATCTCTTTATGTAATGTAGACTTTTACTTTTTAGATTGTATCCCCCACTGTGCCAAGACGTGTGTGTGTGTGTTTGGAGCCATGGACTACTGAGGATGTTGCTTCCTCAGCTCCACACGTTTGATTTGTTCTTCTGTGAAGCTGGAGACCTTCATCGTTACCATTGGGGATGTCTTAAATCCTCCAGGTAGTCTGTGGTAACCTTGGAGACCCTGATCTACACTTGGTCTACTTTCTACAGAAATGAGTTCAGTCAGGTCCAGATGTCATCGCTGATAAAAGCCTGATCGCGTGCACGCACACACACACACACACACACACACACACACACACACACACACACACACACCTCAATGTGCCATGAAGTAGAGGCTGTTTTACACGCCCTTTACTGCTGATTCCAAAGCTGGGAGGTAGTTGCATCCCCCTCATGTGTCCCATTGTGTTCTCCATCCCTCTCTAGGCTCCCCTTATGTGCCTCCTTGTGTTCCCCAGCCCACTCCAGGTTTTCTCCTTAGGTGTTCCCCTTAGGTTTCTGTATCCCTGTGGTCCCCCGCACCCTCCAGGTTTTCTCTAGGTCTCCCTCACATTTCCCTTAGTCACCCCACTAATCATTAGGTTTCCGTCATGTTTGGATTATTTAGTCAGTATCTCCTTTGGTTCATTTTTGCTTCCTTCCCCAGTTAGGTCTGGTTTCCTCCCCTGCTCCGCTCTGCTCCTCCTCTCTGTTATTAGTCTCACCTGTGTCCAATTCCCTTAATCACCCAGCCCCTGTGTATATAACCCTGTCTGCGTCTCAGTATGCTGTCGGTCCATTGATGTTGTGTCAGCGTTGGTCACGTTCCCCCCTCTTGGTCTCTAGGATTTATGCTTCTAGGTCTTTAGGTATTAGGTTTCTCTTGGTCTCTAGGTTTTTGTGCTTTGGATGCTTTTTGGTTTTGTGGACATTTATTCCTTAAATAAAGGATTTTACGTTTTTTCTACCTGCCTTGTGTCGTTCTGGATTTTCTGCATCTTAGGTCCTAACCTCCTCCTGGCTCGCAACGTGACATTGTGGTGGTGTTGGGGAGTGCTCTGAACGTCGAGGGTCATTACAGTAAGCAGAGTGAAACAGAGGAAGGATGTCTCATCTCCACTGGTTTCTGTTACCAATGGTGACATCTATTAAGAACAATGAGGCCTGAAAATAAAAAGCTGCTTGGATTCAGAAAGCGTTACAATCATCCCGGGTGTGATGTGTCTGGGTGTGGTGGGGGCGTGCAGGATTAGAGCTGAAGAAGATGAATGAACTTGGTGAAAGGAACAAGGAAATCCATCTTCCTTCTTCTGTTGGATTTAATGAGAAATGAACAACTTATGTGGACCTCATCCACCTGGTTTCATCCGGTCAGGTGTGTGTGTGTGTGTGTGTGTGCGCGCGCACGTGCGCTGCATTTTTCCTCAAAGGGGTCTCCTGTGTGGTTGTTGATAACCAGGATTTCGAACTCTAACACAGTGAAAGCAGATGGTGTGTGTGTGTTTCCATTCCTTCAGCCCCGAGTCAGCCATCCCTGAAGGTACGTCTGCCTACTGTAGTGAAAGTGTGGGCTGATATAAGGTCAGCCAAGGCTTGACCTTGTGACCATCTGCTATTATCATGACAGATGTGACAGAGATACCTCAGATCTGTGGCTAGACCTAGAGCTGCATGTTAGATTTCCTCACAGAGGAACCTTACTGGCATAAGTCCTCTGGGGCGTAACTGTTGTCCACCGCTGGCAGCTCGGTTCACGGGGATGTTTCAGTCAGCTGAAGCCTCCAAATAATGACTCGTTACTCATTAACACTGTAACGTCATGGATGTAGCTACACTTAGTAAATGATCATTAAAATGTGATATTCCATATAAATATGAATTATCAATCTGATTGGTCTTTGAATATTTGATTTAATATTAACTTATGTTCTTAGTTAATGTAGATTATTGAACACATTATTAAAACACTTTGGATTTAAACATATTGTCCACAAAATATGATTATTTAGCACATATGAAATTCTAAAGTCATTTATGAGCCAGGGAAGACGAGCCTTATGCAAAGACGATAGATAAGAAGTCCTGCGTCTTGCAGCCTTGAGGACTCGTGATGTACGCAGGATAAGACAAGAATATTGGCTCAAGTTCATGGACTTCATATCGGCACCTCGGTGTCAGAGTGATCTGTAAGTTAAAAGTTAACTTCTGGTCATTTTGGATGAAATACTTGGCCATGTGGTACGCTACAACATCTACAGCATGATAG